ATAAACCAATCCAAGCCAGGAACCGAACTCGATACCCCTCGATATTTCTCATCAGTCGCAATACTTGACCATCGAGGCTGTCTTAGGTGAATACGCCGCTACTCATTGCAAGTTGTTTCCAACTAGCAGACCTAGAAGTTCTATTCGCCTATGTGTTACTTTAGATTGTAATCTACCTTTGTTCCAAATTTCATCCCGGTCCCTTCAGCCGTTTTGATGTGACTGAGTAACGAACATACACACAAACTCACATATCATAATTTTACATTTATAATATCGGTTCAAGCTAATCTCAACCATCGGCCCTACGTTTACAGCGTAAAGTCCACTGCGGGCAACATTCGACAAAGTTATATGCGTTTGGTACAGTAACTGTCTCTAGGGATTGAGTCGCACTATTAAGTTTGTTTTTACGTGTATATACTCACCCCTAATATTTATTTTATTAATATATTCAATGTATAGAATTTACACTTCTGCAGTTTTATTATTCATATGTGTAGAAAAAAACCCTCAAATCTTATGTTAACTCTAATCTGAGTGTTACTATGTATTTAGTTCACATAAAGCCAAGGATACACTAGGGAACAAATGTCCTGCGACACGTGTCGCCAGCGACGTCGGGTGAAGACCGGACTTTGGTCGCGACGTGTGGCAACATCAACGTCACTGAAGTTGCACGTTGTCACCGTATATGTCAGGCGACATCGGTCGGCTTCGCTCGACATGTCCACGATACATACATGTCATAGGACATTATTGTCCCCTAGTCTATCCTTAGGGTAAGTCAACATAAAAATATGTTTCCTAATTGTCAACAGGTGAAAGGTGTAATGCTTGCCAGTTCCTGAAAAGAAACAAAATGCTAAGCTTTATTTGTTAGTAAGACACAATCCTGAAAGGGTATAGTTTCTAATTGAAGAAGTTATGGGAATTACATAAAAACTGTACAATTTTATTATTTTACTACCTTATTCCATTCATTGTTTTTTTAATATTCTTTACATTTGACCAATTTAAATTTACAAGCTCATATTGCATGTTGTCTTTTTATACATGCACATGTCTTTTGTTTGTGTATTATTTAAATTGGATGAATAAGTTATAGTTTGTTTTAACTACAGTTGGTTTGTTCATGCTAACTCTACTTGCCACTCTAGTGCTGTGACGCTTTTTGATAGTTTTATTTTGTTTTCCAGGCCTATCCGGAAATTTAAAATCGTGGAAGCTATCTGATACACATACAATTAGTCATACTTTATCCATTTTCGTGTAGTAAGTATGCAGTAAGTAAAATTTTTACTAGCTTGATAGTAACACTAAATAAATAAACCGTTTCATTTCCAAAGTAGGTATATTGTTTGCAAATAGTGGAAGCTTTCTATTACGATAATTGGATAAGAGCACCACATTATAAATACATATACATAACACCTATACATTTTAAACTTAAAATTGTTACATCACAAGTATAATCACATGTCATGAGATCATGGATAGTCGTTTACGAATAAACCATGAGAATTATCAAAATGAGACTCTGCCGATGAATTTCTTAGATAATAAAAGCTGTTTCTACATAACTATTCTCATCTTCCGTCGTACCTAACCTAACCGACTATCTGACTTTATACAACCGTTAAGCAATATTTCAATAACTACCGAAAATTATCTATTAATGCTGCACAATAAAGTACACTTCAATTTACAAAAGAATTTATATTTTATAGCCTATTTCTTACAAAAAATACATATGATAGTTATTTAACAGAACATTTACAAAGCGAGTTTGACTCACCCTTGACCCGTTTTGGGACAATCGAAACGCTAAAAACAACTTTCATCCACGGGTTGCTAAGTGACAATGGTAGTAACCCGAAAAACAGCCAAACAGCCGGGTATCGACGGATAACCACATCTAATTACATATTATATGTCATACTTAAAATTTGAGAGCAAAGCTTAGATTAGTCTTAAACAACTCTGGTAATACTTCGGATCAAGTGTTATGGCCAATGTTGTAAGATTTGTTCCTAATCCTGTTTATTGTGTATTTTTCTAGGGATTGGTCAAAGGCAGTTGTACCACCAACGATACGTGGGAAGTGAGCAGAGCTACAACTAAAAACAATTGGCAAGTAACGAGAATGAAAAGATATAAGTCCCCGCTGTGCGTTACACCTGCGTGATAATTTGCAGCACCCGTGGGACGCCTTACAATATTTTATTTCAAACATATTTTTTTTTCTTTTAAATAAATTTTGAATAAATTAATTAAGTTGTTTGATTTTGTAACCACTATAATTTTATTACCTTTGTATCGTTTAGATATTTAATTGGCACTTTGAATACAATTTTATCTAGTATATCCCATATGAAGTGGACTTAATTGGAGAAACTGCCTTTTCCAATGCCTGAGCCGCAATATGTCACATCAAAGTGCTGGACAAAGGCCTCCTCCTTAGTCCTGCGCGTCGAACGACCTACCGCCAAAGCATTGTTTGCTATTTTACAAAATTTAATTCAGTGCGACTGACATCTGAGTTTACAATATAATTGTTACTCTATTATAGGGCCTAGTTGACACAGCCTTTTACAAAATGTCTTATAGATAATATAGACAAACCAAACTAGTTACATAGTTGTAAAAATATTTCTGCATTGGTTCATGTTATATACCCATTTGTAGCTGTAGCTGATTTAATTAAATGTGCTTATGCTCTCTCTACATTATATTAATTTTCAATACTGTTTTACACCATGTAAGATACATTATGAGATAATACATAATAGTAAATAGGCTATATTATTATTTCGAGTAGGTCAACTAGGTATGAATACTAAACTGTAGACTCTCCGTATTGTAACAACCTAGGTCTACAAAATGTCCGTACTCTAAATGTTAAGACCAATAATGTTCATACTTGAAATATGCAAAAAGGATCAAAGTCATGCTTTAATGAAATAGATAATCTATAACCAAGCTATGTAAATAAGAAGTATGTAGAGAGCTAGCAGATTTATACTGCATGCGACCAACATGTCAGGCCTTTGATTATGTTTACATTTTAGCTGATGATGTTTTGCTTGGCAAAAAAGAGTTTGACGCGGTGACAGTTGCAACTTAATCAACCCACTTTGGACAATATCCCATGATAAAATATCATCCGAATATAGTATCTTCACCTTTTAAACTAGATAAAAATAACAAATAAACTGTTAGAGTCGTAGCCTGCAGGTACAATATTAACGACTTAAATTATTTTAAACTCCTTTTTGCCAAGCTGTACTGGCATAAAAAAGCTCAAATTCACTTGTACATTGCAAATGAAACCTTATTTTGACAGTTTTGGTAACAATAAGGTTTTAAATGTACTGGTGTTAAAAATATTAAATAGAGACAATTGTCGACATGTTACATAAAAAGTATTTTTTTTTTAATTCGTATGAACTGAAATATCCAGACTCGTTTATTGCATCTTTTTTAACATCAAGATTTTTATTGTACTATGTACAAGCGAGACCAGAATCAGTTAGTTTTTCATAACAGATTGTCATTAATATTAATAAAAAACATTGCGAAATATTGTTGAAGCATCATTGACACCAAAATTCAATTATTAAGGGCCCCGCATGTCGCAATAGAGTGGAGCTACGGCGGTTTTTAATCGCGATGTGAAACAAGAAACCAAATACAAGTAACTTGTGATTTTGTCCCGCGATAGACTTATTACAATGGCATGTTAAAAACGGCCGCGGTTCCACCAAGTGTGGACTGGGCATTATGTCTAATTTATTTTGCATCAGAAATAAATTCAAATAAAAAATTGAGTTCTACAATTATAACGTCAGTTATACATTGCATACTATTTAAATTGTTTTCATTTTAATATAATTAATAAAGTAGTTAAACATCTATCTACATAAAATGTACATACATACAATTTACTTATGAGATTAATTATAGGTAGTCGGTGAGAAATATAAATAATGTAAGCTGCAAAAATTCATACAGTCTCAAAAAAAGTAATTAATACCATAATATTAAGTCACATTAAGGCAACCAGATTGCGTTTGTTCCAATTTATGCATTGCTTCGTACAAACATAATAAACATACAAAACAGGATTAATAAGAGCAACACAAGATTGCTGAAACCGGCGGCCCCCCATACAACTCGCACATCATCAACTCAGTCCAACGGACAAGAAAACCCCAGCAAGAAGCGTCCGCCCCGCGTGATAGACTCACAGTCCCGGAGAACCACTGTTTCCCTCCTTCTATGGGGTTAATCCTACCATAATCTTCAAGACAATCCTGATGATGGACAAACAAAAGCCTCAGGTTGTGTCCAAGGTCACAGAAAGGCCGTTGATGGGAATCTGGGGTGAAATAAAGTCCCGGCTTCGCAAGACAATAGAAAAAGGCTCTGATATATCGGAAGGAGAGAGGTCAACAGCATGTCCTACAGCATGCAACAACCCTCAGCCTGTGGCTGCGAGCAAGATCCCGATAATGACACCCATTCACTATGATGAAAAAGGGACAAAGCACGCAAAAGATGACAAATGAGAAGCTGGAAAAAGATAACATCTTATCCCCAATGACAGGATAGGATACACAGATAGTCCAGAATTCCTATCAGGTGCTCCTCGGATGCCAGTTGATTATAAAAAAAAAACATAAAAAGAGACATTTTGTAATCTGAATAGTTGAATTATCTTATTCATTATTATTAACATTAAACCAATCATTCTACACCATTACAGATGACTTTAACAATTCAATACAGAATTAGTGTAGAAACCCAATGGAAATAGGAAGATATATCCAATACATGAAAAAATCATTGCCAGCAATTTGAGGTCGACAAAAATAATAATGAGTGTGCCATTCTTTTCTCGACCTCAGATCACTCGTAATTTAAGTTACCCATACTTTTGAGCGTTTTCTCTTCCCTTTCAACCTTCAAGCCTTCATTAACTACTATTTATTTCGTTTTCAAATATTATCTGCACTGGCATATACAGTCATCTGACAAAAACAAAATAACAAACAGAATTAAATAAACAACCACAGGAATTTTCTAACTAAAAATGCTTTCATAAGACTAAGGAGTTAATTCAGACCTTTAATTTCTTGGCGGGTCTAAGAGCGTAGTTAAGAGTCACTTGTCGTTTGATGTTCGACCGTCGTGGATTTCTCCTGCCATTCCACTCTGCTTCCATCTTTCGAGCAAATTCATAATCATTCTTTTCTTGTTCAATCAATTTTTCAATTCTAAGCTGTTCTTCCAATATTTTCTTAACATCACAATTTTTTAATGGACTAGACAAATTTTTTACAGCTAAATTAACCTTATTGTTATTTATTGATTCGGAAATTAATGGACTGTGTAATTCTTTTTTGGTACTTGACTTTTTGGAATCACTGCGTAAGTATGGCTTCCTCTCAGACGATACTTTCCTCTGTTTTATTTTGCCCTTCTTAGGTGTTGTTTCATTTTCATCTTTCGAAATGCTTCCCATGGACCGCGTGCGTCTAAGATTGCTTTCATTATTTAATTTATTAATGCCGTCAATATGTATTGTTTGTTTATTTCTATTAGGATTTTTCTTGATTGGTAAAGGGGCGACACAAGGACTAGTAGATGCAGTTTTCTTAACTTTCGATCTCGTAGTTTCGCATTTCCCAGGGTGTTCCTGTAATATAAAGGAAATATAAATGTGTAAAACATTTGTAGCTTGATCATGAAAATGGTAGTTAGCCATGGAAATTATGGAGGAGTTAGTTTATTTGTTTACATTTGTACATCATCAACAATATACATAAAATAATTTACGAAAAATATTACACTGTGTAGGTACACTAATTGTATGACAAACATAAACAAGTCTATCATGTCATTCACTGGGAAAATCACAAAATAGCTACTAAAATTAGTAGAAGCCTGGCCACTGGTTCATAGTAGTAAAGCACATGTACTACTAACCTTATTAACTTTGAGAATATTTAGGGCAATAACAAATGCAGATGGTAAGTTTTTAGCTAAAGAGATGTTTCTGAGGCGACAAAGTCCCTCTAAATATTGCACCCGAGTTGGTACTGGTTCATTACTAGATGATACTGACTCTTTTTCTATACGAAGTCCTGGTACTCGAAGAGGTAGGCTCTTGCCTGTATTGAAACTGAAACAGAAATATTATTGTGAGTTTATCATTTGACACCCAATGATTGAACCAGGAGAGTGGGTCACATACAAATAAAAGCTAAAAGATTTTTGTGTATGTACAAACTGTACAGGGAATATCTTCCAAACTTTCTGTATACTGGAATCACTTAAGTAAAAATTAAATAATGTGTATTTACCTTGTGGGAGTTGTTGATTCAATTGGTTTGAAATAGCACAACTCTTGTCGCATGGAGTCAACGCTTCCAGTCTCAACATTTCTATTTTCAGCTATATTAATCTTATGTTGGAGTATTCCTGTATATGGCAGTGGCAAAGAGACAAGCAAAGAAGGCACAGAGCCTTTTACTTTAACCTTCTCTTCTGTGTTGGTGTTACCTGGTTCTTTATCACCGGCTTTTGGATCGTCTTTCTGCAAAATATCAAGTAAAATATAGTATCATACATTTTACTTCCCTAAGGTCAGGTCAACTGTAGGGCGATATTCATATATCAAGCACCCTTCAAGATAAAGTACTATTAAAAATTTCAAGGAATGATACTCTATGACCCAATATAAAATAAAGATTTATCACAAGATATTGACTAGCTGGAACTGATAGATAAATATACTTATTTTCAATATTATAGTAGTGCCTAATAATTTACTATCACCATGTTAAGGAGATTAAATTTAAAACTCATTGCTCTTTACTTTTGTCTCAGTTGTTCTTACTTTTATCTAAAAATTATTTGACTTACCTTTTCTTTGATATTTTCCCCATTTTCTTTATTCCATAAACCTGGGCCAAGTTTACTTTTTTTGTCTACAAAGTTCTTAATTAATTTTCCATAACTGGGAACCATTTCTGGTGAGGCTCCGTTCATGGGTTTGACTATAGGAGTTTTGGGGGTTGACCCGTTAGAACTTGCATTATCATTGGATTCATTATTTATTTGAAGGTTACTGAAACAAACATTTTTCTTTATTCTCTTTAGTTGATAAAAACAGGGGTGAGGGTGCGCTAAAGGCACTCAGGTCACTCAAGGTGTATTTATTTTCATTGAGATATGACATTGTAGAGATTTACACTTACTCTTTAGTGGTGGGTACTTGTAGTTTAGATAAATAATTATCTATCTTGGTAGATTTCAGTCTAGGTTTAGCAGCAGTGGCCCTATAATTGAGTCTCCTAGGTGTGTTTCGTGGCGGTACAGGATCAGTATGATCTTGTTGCATTTGTTGAGCTAAAATTTCATCTTTTTTTAAATTTTCTAGATACTTTTTATGTGCTTCTTCTTCTTCGGTTTGAATTTTCCTAAAACAATATTCAGAATGAGGTTTGTTTTCAGTAATTACTCAAATATGTAACATAGTCAAATCTAGTCTAACATACTTGATTAGTAATTCAGTTTCCTGTATGTGTTTTTGCTCTAATCTTACTCGTTCAGCTCTTAAGCGTTTCAATTCAGCCTCATATTCTGACCTTATTTCGCCAGGCTCACTTAACCTAGGTAAGGGGATCTCTGAAAAAAATTAATAGTTTAATTAGATGAATAATCTAAAAAAAATAATCAGACTTAGGAGAGAAATGATAAGATATTATACAATTTGACGAGTTTAGCTCTAAGTGAAAATAACAAAAAGTTAGTGTATAAACTTAGAAGATTTCACTAGTTTTGTTATATGCTAGGGCTAGGATATAGCAATAATTCTATACTTGACCAAATTATGAAGTACTTTTTGACAGAATACATGGATGATGTAGAATATAATTATAACCACCATACAAGCACAAAACTATTGCAAAAACAATGTTAACTTCATAAACAATAAACAAATTATCGATTATGTACATTGCTAAATTTCGTGTAATGCAGACGTTTACCTTCTGGCAAACGGATGTCTTCTCCTTTAGTTTTGATTTCAATTTCATGGGGAAATTTCGATTGAATAAAATTCCAAAGTTCAACATTCACCAAATTCTTTTGTTTTGTTGCTGTTCTTAGCCAGGATCCAATTCGCAATCGACACAGAGGACAACACAAAGCATTATTTTCTATGCTACCATTGAAACAACGTTGACAAAAATCATGAAAACACGGCAAGGTTACTGGTTCTATTAAAATAGATTGACAAATCGAACAAAATACATCTTTTAATTCTAAATTTTCTAATTTTAACAACTTATTTTCAATTTTAGACAGCCGCTTCTTTGACTTGGCCGCCATTTTTCACTATGGTTCTTTCCATCTTTTTTCTTAAAAAATTCTCACGTTCCATACACCCGTTGTGGATTCTTTAGCATATTCTCTCATAATGTTTTACTTTTACTTGTTTTCTTTGTTAGGCCGAGTCTGCACTGATAAACTTTGAATTATCTTTTGAGATACTGACAATTACCAAAATATAAATCATGATGATTCTTCTCAATATAATATTTTTAGAAAGAGCATCATTTTAAGCACTGCATATTAACTTACTACAGAAATACATACATTCATAAAAAATATATTCATCAATAATATTTAATCATTTTGAGAAATTAGCTTCCCTAGCATAGTTGATTGCAGGGGTACCAACATTTTCGATGGAGAAGCCATGTTGATATTTTCTTTCTTTTTTCGTCATGTACCGACTCACATGTATTTGAGAACGAGAAACGAACACGAAAGAAACCACGAGAAATATGGTGGTTGGAAGAGGATTTTAGATGGTGTTCTTTTGTTCTTGCAGTATTGTGGTGGATTTTTAACAAATGTTTGAGTGTGCTATTTGAAATCTTTGTTAAATCTCAGGATTAGACCTTGGAAAATGTCTTCAATGCATTTTGTGGTTCATCCTTTGCCTGGCACTGAGGATCAATTGATAGACAGGTAAACATATTTTATCATTTTACGTGACTCCATTTCGTTCATGTTGTTAGATCCGACATTCCATGATCGTATGATTTGAATCAAGTCACCGTATGATGATATAGCATCAAGGGCCACGTTTCCCGTATCATTTTACGTTCACGGGAGAATTTCCATTGTATGACATTTCTTTGTCGATTTTGGATGAAGCTGATAGTAATCCATACCGTGTAATGTTAATTTGGATCGGATGGCGTAATCTTGTTTGGTTTAAAACGACGATGCTATATTTGCAAACCTGCTTTTCGCGTTTACAATGCCGATACCGTAGTAGTTAATTCTCAACTGTGACATAATAAAATCGCTCAATACCTATTTCATTTCATGTGTATGCTTGTCTCGTTACCCTCCCAATAACAATAATTTGTGTAGATCGTATTGTTGAAAATTATTTTACGTGATCCAAAAATATGTCGATTTTTGCATTAAACTGAATGTAATGAAATACATTTACCACCAGCAGTACCTAATAATATTATGTCATGTCATAGAGAAAAATGTTTTGGAACTTATTTAAACCTGATTTTTAGTATTTAATGAAAAACAGTTATCTTTATATTTAATACAGTAATTTTGATATTATTTTGAATACCTGAGTGCATTGCCATACTCATAACAGGCTATGTTATCTTCACTAATAGTGGTTCTAATTGTAATTAATTAAATGGCCTATTCTTACATTGCCATAATTTGTTGCTATTCGTTTCAAATTACTAATTTATCTATGCTATTAGTCACTATTAACAATGAACATCTTAATTTCAATTTGTGGTGAAATGACTTGTTTGCAAACAAAAATATGCACTGTAATGTCATGAAATATAAAAAAGACTTGCTCTTGCCTGTGACTTCTACATGGAATAATGACTTCTGGCAAAATTCTGGTTTTTGAATCCGTCTTCCCCAATGTATGTTCTACGGCTGTAACAAATATCAACAGAATTTATTGGTTACCTAAGTTTATATTTATTGTGAGATGATTCTTTATTTGTAAAAATAATTTTACCTCTATTTGCAAAAATTCACTTTAGGGAAACTTAGTAAGTGATGTGGTTCAGGTTGTTCCTTAAGGTTCGTTAAATTATGGAAAACTCCTGGTAAATTCATAACTTCCAATTAGGATTACTTGTTTGAATCCCTTATCAATAGTACAAATTTAATCTTACTCAATGGGCTAGCACCTTTTCATCCATAGGCATAGACTAGGCAATTGGCTAGCTAGACTTGATGATTTTGGTGGAGAATAGATAGCGAGTAGTTGGTTGTGTATTATGATCATCATTTACAAAACATTAGGCATTTCGTAAACATAATATTTGTGAAGGTTCTGGGTTAATTTTCTGAGCAGCATTGTTTATCTAAATAAAGTACCTAAATATTAACCTCTGGTCTGTCGCAGTGTAGATCTACATGAGACACAATGTGTTTTCTATTGTGTCTTAAATACCAACACACAAGAGGTTACCCAAAAATTATGGTTGTTTTGATTTTATGTCTTCAAGTAGGGGTTTTTACTTTATTAAAATTTGATAGGTACACACTTGGTTTTTGAAAAGCTCTGATCATCTCTAATCAGGTATTAAATCTATCTGTCAATTCAGTTGCTAGGAGCATATTTATACTTGTATTTTAATAATTAAATAGCCCCATTGACTACTATAGTCGTTTATCAATCTTTTGGTATTTGTGAAGTATGTTTGGTATTTGAAATGAAGTTTCACTGGAAATATGGTGGTGATGAAATCGTGTAAAAATATCTATTGAATTATCTAACTGATAAAAATTACATACAAAAATAAATGGCTTAGGGGCACAAAATGAAATGATTTATTATTATAAAAATTAGAATATAGAAATTTTTTTTGGTGGCCACTAACCATCTTGCTAATAATTTGATATGCACTTTATAATACATAATTATAATTATAAAGTATATTTAGAAATTTTAATGCATTATAATTAAAATAAAAAAATGTCTAAAAACTATTGCTAGAGATTTTTTAAAATAATTGTCCACTATATTAGCATGTGAAGTGGTAATTTAACTCGTCGAGTACCGGTTTTATAGACACAATTAAAGAACAATAGGTCGCGGTCACCGGTGACCGCTTGGTGTTTGACAGTTTAATCTACACCTTGGAATGAGCAAATAGGTTTTACTTCACTTTTAATTTTATTATTGACGTTCAAAAGTGCCTTTCTGGTCTAATTGAAATAAATAATTTTGACTTTGACTTTGTTACACTAAAGTGGAAAAGGTTTAATATTAATTTTAAATTATGGATAGATTTTATGATATTATTATGTTAGTCTCTAATCAAGGTTCAATCCAAATCATCAATCTGTGGTGTTAATGTCAATAATTTACAATTTTAGTAATAGTGATAATTTTTACGGTTACATATAAAGCATAATATAGTTTGAAATGAAAATCGAAATATATTTTATGTTTATTTATCGTTTCGAGTTAATTACTGCTAATGATTTATTTTGTATTTTCTACAAAATAAATCCAGTGTAAAATGAATGAAATTAAGTGACACTGTCACATAATGTCATAAACCCATGACAGAACCTGCCCTGTCCTGAAGTGACCTGTCTTGTTGGTAGAGTTGTGTGTGTGTTCATGTATTTCACCTCGATTCAAGATGAAAAATATGTAGCTTTCCCATATGAAATCGAATATAAGTCATTTAATCTGAACACCATGACAATTGAAATTGGAGAAATTAGGTGACAGTCATTATGTGAACTTTACCATGTTTCTTTTATTAAAATAATATAAATTTCACACTACAGACAAATAAGAAATGTACTTGGTTGGAAAAAATGGCTTGAAATATGTAATAACCATACAAATAATTAAAATTAAAACATTATCTATTGAATTATATGAATAATAATATGAGGTTGTTTTGACTACAGGCTAAAGGAAGTTGCTGACCGTTGGAATAGATATGGGACAGGTGCTGGTTCTTCGGCGCTTAGTTCACTGCGAGGAGTGCGTGCTGTGGCCGCTGGTCCAGCTCATATTGCTTGCTTGCTCGAAGATGGTACCATCTGCCGTGCTGCCTTCTCGATCATTCCCGATAGATTGGACTTGAGTAAAACTGACGCTAGTAAGAATGGCGGCAATGGTGGCGGAGGGAGCGGTGGCGGAGGCACTAGCGGCGGCAAGCAAGGTGGTAGTGGAGGTGGCTGCGGCTCGCGACAACAGCCTCGCACCAGAGCTCGGATCATGAGGAACTCTATTCGCGCGACACCTAGCTCACAAGGTAATTTGAGTAATTTGTATAGACTTATTCATGATGCCAGTGCACAATAATGATGATTCAGTATTATTATTTAGGTTATTTAAATGAATTTATTTTACGCAGGATCAACAAGCCGAGCGACAGGCGTCATTATCGGTGCATCTGGCTCTGGACGAGTTGTGTCGGTTCCAGCGCCGTTTGTGCCGGAAGATCTGGTCACACAGGCTCAAGTGGTTCTTCAGGGAAAGAGCAGGAGTCTTATTATAAGAGAGTTGCAGGTACTACTTTGTAATATTCTGATTTTAATAGATCAGAACAAACTAAAAAAGTAAAAATGTTGTATATTTCTTTATATATTAGCAATTTAATAATTTGGTAATGTAAAATAATATAGCGAACCAACTTGGACGTGAACCTCGCGGTGAACAACTTGCTGTCACGTGACGATGAAGAGGGCGAGGAACCGGAGGGTGGCGAAGGTGGTGACGGCTACGTGCCTGAGGACCTGATATCTCTTCTTGATGGAGGGTTTCACGCGGCGCAGCAGGACCACTCCGTCATCATAGACGCTGACACCATGTTTTCTGAGGACATCTTCGGGTACGCGGCTATCAGAAGGTATACCTGTCAGCTATGCTCCTCTGCCTCACCACACTCTCCTGCCTGTAGTAAATATAGTCCTCAACCCAATCTCCGGCACGCTGTCAAGCTTACGCAGTTTCCATGTATGTTGTGATTGGGAGTTTATTAGATGTTTAGATGTACATAGACTTTAATAATTTAGCAACAGTGCATGTTTTTTGTTTGTCTCCTTGCACTGGTCACATTCCCAAATGTATTTTGTTTTTGTATGGTAGTAGTAGTGGTAGTATCACAGATGTAAAGATATGGTCAGCTTATTTTTGTGAAAAATAAGCAGGAGCCAAATGTAATGGAATAAAATTCCTAAGTGGTCAGTCGAAATAAAAGAAAACGACCATTCTTTATATCTGTGAAGATTGCAGACGTCATAGATTGTGCTAAAACATGGTTGTATAATAGTCGCAGTGGGGGCGGCGGTAG